GGGTGCCAAATGCTCTAGGTACGCCCCTGGGTCGCTGTAAGTTATTTTAACCTTAACAGGTGAGCACATGTCTGTCATCCAGAATCTCTGTAGGGGAATGTGAGTTTGTTAAATTCAGGATCGGACTGTGTAAATCAAACTGTGAGATCTGAATTGTTTTACGGTTTATACTTCCATTAAAAGCAGCACAGAAACAAAGCTACTGGCTAAAGTTTTTAACCTAACAAACACTGTCCTGAGTTTTCTCTGTTTCAGAGATTTTTGTAGAAGTTGGCAGTTTGCAACATTGCAGCTCAGAGATCTTGGAAAAATTTTATTATCAAGGGGTAAAGACTATAATCACTACAAAGAAATAACGAGAAAGCATCACGTCCAAGACTGGTAGAATGTTCTATTTAATGGTGTAATATGCCTTTTATAACACAGAAAGACATGGAACGATAATACAATCACACATTCCCTCTCTGGACAGATTGCGGTACAATAATTTCATTATAGACATTATATCCCAACACAATGAGTGAGTTAGTTGATATTCCAGTCGTTATAATATTATCTGAGCAATGCAATCACATGATCCGAGAAACGGGTTTCTTTACAAAACAACGTATTGTAGTGAATTTAAATCTGAATTGCAAATTATAGGCCAAGCTATGACTGGCGTTTGACACTTTATTTTAACTTAATTTGGAAGTTTGTTTTTCTGCCACGTTTATTTTTAATTGGCATGCCTAAAATACACAGCAGATTGATAAAAGATGGATCTTCAAACATCCTCCATGTCATTTGTTATTGGATGTCAAGCCCTTAAGTTAACTCCAAAAGCATTGAGTCACCTTCTCACAGCTTTGAGTCTTGTGGGATCAAGACCTCGTTAGGTTCTACGGTTAGGGCGGTGTTTAGGGGCCCAATCTGATCAAGCAAGGAGAGTTCCAGCAATGGAGAAATTTAAAGCCGGTGCTTTAAATCTAGACCTGGCCAGGCCGGCAGTTCATTAAAATCTGTAAGTAAAACTGGTCCCTGGGCAATCAAACCGCATTTAGAAGCTTAGGAGTACAAAAGCTATTAACACTTAATTACTGGGGTTCCCTCACTAAATCCTGACTTTCATCTGGGATGGGATTTGTTGGGACCTTGAACTGTAGGTGGACCAGGATTTGGGTGGACCTTAAAATAATTCTCCAAGCACTACAACCACTAAATAGCACAGCAGTTTAATGGTACCTCCCCATTCTAAATAGTTACATAGCTGAAAAGAGACCTGCGTCCATCAAGTTCAGCCTTCCTCACATTTGTTTTTTGCTGTTGATCCAAAAGAAGGCAAAAAAATAAAAAACAGTTTGAAGCACTTCTAATTTTGCAACAAATTAGGGGGGAAAATTCCTTCTTGACCGCAGAATGGCAGTCAGATTTATCCTTGGATCAAGCAGCTATCACCCTACATTGAAAAATTATATCCTTGAATATTCTGTTTTTGCAAGTATGCATCTTGTAGCTGTTTGAACATCTGTATGGACTCTGATAAAACCACTTCTTCAGGCAGAGAATTCCACATCCTTATAGTTCTTACAGTAAAAAAACCTTTTCTATGCCTTAGACATACATAGTACATAGTTACATAGTTACATAGCTAAAGAGAGACTTGCGTCAGCCTTCCTCACATATGTTTTTGCTGTTGATCCAAAAGAAGGCAAAAAACCTAGTCTGAAGCACTTCCAATTTTGCAACAAGCTAGGGGAAACAATTCCTTCTTGACCCCAAAATAGCAGTCAGATGTCTCCTTGAATCAAGCTGCTATTCCCCTACTAATTAGAAATTATATCCCTGTATGTTATGTTTTTGCAAGTATTTATCCAATTGCAGTTTAAACATCTGTATGGACTCTGATAAAACTACCTCTTCAGGCAGAGAATTCCATATCCTTATTGCTCTTATTCTAAAAGACCTTTTCTTTTCCTTAGATGAAATCTCCTTTCTTCCAGCCTAAATGTGTGACCTCGTGTCCTATGTAAAGCCCTGTTTATGAATAGATTTCCAGATAAAGGCTTGTACTGGCCCCGAATATATTTGTATAATGTTATCATATCCCCTCTGAGGCGCCGTTTTTACAAACTAATGAGATTTACATTTTTTAACCTTTCTTCGTAACTAAAATGCTCCATTTCTTTTATCAATTTTGTAGCTCGTCTCTGCACTTTTTCTAGTGCCATGATATCTTTCTTTAGAACAGGTGCCCAAAATTGCACAGCATATTCAAGGTGTGATCTTACCAGCGATTTATAAAGAGGCAAAATTATATTTTCATCCCGAGAATTTATGCCCCTATTTATACATGACAAAACCTTACTGGCCTTGGCCACTGCAGATTGACATTGCATATTGCTGCCTAATTTGTTGTCTATAACAATTCCCAAATCATTCTCGTGTGTGGTTCTCACTAATTTGCTTACATTAAGGGTATAAGTTGCTTGTGCATTCTTTACGTAGAAGTGCATTTTTCAACATTAAATTTTATCTTCCATTTGTGCTCAGTCCCCAAGTCTATCTAAATCCCTCTGCAGCAAAGTCATATCTTGCTCACATTGTATTACTTTACAGAGTTTAGTGTCATCTGCAAACACTGAAACATGACTTTCAATAGTTTTTTCAAGATCATTTATAAACATGTTAAATAGAAGGGGTCCCAGAACAGACCCCTGAGGGACACCACTTGCCACCTCTGTCCAGCTTGAAAATGTACCATTAATGACAACTCTCTGTACTCTATTTTGCAGCCAATGTTCTACCCAAGAACAAGAATGTTCATCTAGACCGATTTCCTTGAGTTTGTAGTCTAATCTACTGTGTGGAAATCTATCAAATGCCTTGGCAAAATTCAAATAGATCACGTCCACTGCAACACCCTGATCTATACTTCTACTTACTTCTTCGTAGAACGCAATCAAGTTAGTTTGGCATGACCTGTGCTTCATAAAACCATGCTGATTTTTGCTGATAAACATTTTCTTTTAAATGAATTCTTGAATATTATGCTTTAATAACCTTTCAAATATTTTACCAGCCACAGAAGTTACGCTCACAAGTCTATAATTTCCAAACAAGGATTTTGAACCCTTTTTGAATATAGGAACCACATCTGCCTTCCTCCAATCCTCCGGAACACTTTCTGAAAGAAAAGAATCTTGAAAGATTAAAAACAGAGGTTCACTTATTTCTACACTTAGTTCCTTAAGCACTTGTGGATGAATACCGTCAGGCCCTGGAGCTTTTGTTTATATTAACTTTATTTAGTTGCTGCAGCACCTTGTCTTGAGTTAACCAATTACAATTATTCTGCACATTTTTAGCAGCAATCATTTGACCATCTATTGCCATGAGTTCTTCCTTAATATATACGGAGGAGAAATAGTTATTTAAAATGTTTGCCTTTTCCTGGTCTTCATTAACTAACCCCCCATCCCAGTTTTTAATGTACCTACACTTTTCTATACATATATATTTTATTTTTATTTTTTTATGTACTTAAAGAATGCTTTGGGGTTGGTTTTGCTCTCTTTGGTTATCATTTTTTCATTTTGAAGTTTAGCAAATCTAATTGCCTTTTTGCACGCATTAAAAAGAAAAGTAATAGACATGTAAAACATCCCACAATAGCTTTGTGTTGGAGAATAACGGTTGAGGCATTTACAGCACTTGTTTGCTAGAGGCGACTGGTTGGACGCGGCCAGGAGTGAAATTGTAGATTATAATGAGAATAACATGTCTGAATGACTCACACAGACAGATAATATTAAAAAATAAGGGATATTCCAGAGGAAATGACTGAATGTTGTGAATCTCTTGCATTGTTATACTTGAAGGAACAATAGAAGTATAATCAACAGAAACAGTAAATGACCATATAGCAAGTGTAGTTAATAAAGTATATATAGTATATACATACACCGATCAGCCACAATATTAAAACCACCTGCCTAATATAGTGTAGGTCCCCTCGTGCTGCCAAAACAGCTCTGATGCATGGACTCCACAAAACCTCTGAACGTGTCCTTTGGTATCTGGCACCAAGACATTAGCAGCAGATCTTTTGAGTCCTACAAATTCCCAACATAACAACCCACAGATGCTCAATCGGATTCAGATTTGGGGAATTTGGAGGCCAAGCCAACACCTCGAGCTCTTTGTCATGTTCCTCAAAGCATTCCTGAACAACGTTTGCAGTGTGGCAGGATGCATTATCCGGCTGAAAGAGACCTTTGCCATCAGGGAACACTATTGCCATGAAGTTGTGTATGTGGTTTGCAGCAATCTCTAGGTAGGCGGTACGTGTCAAAGTAACATACACATGAATGCCAGGACCCAAGGTTTACCAGCAGAATATTGCCCAGAGTATAACACTGCCTCCGACGGCCTGACTTCTTCCCATAGTGCATGCTGCTGGCATCTTTTCCCCAGGTAAACAACGCACATGCACCCGGCCATCCACCTGATCTAAAAAAAACGTGATTCATCAGACGAGGCACCAGGTAACCTTCTTCCATTGCTCCATGGTCCAGTTCTGACACACATGTCCCCAATGAAGGGGCTTTCGGCAGTGGACAGGGGTCATCATGGGCAAGCCAGGCAGTCCTCCTGCAGGCATTGATGTAATTTGACCAATCCGAGTCATGTGACCAGTGGTTTGCTGCAGGGTCGGCGACGGTTGCCGATCGGATCTGGCGAGAAAGATAAGTATCCTTGCTTAGTGGAAGGTTGGATCATCAGGGCATGATCCTTTTCTAGGACGGCATAGCACTTGCTAATGGCATTAAGGGGTTAACAAAAGTAAAGTTTAAAAAAAAACTTCCACTAACTTTGCGCAATGACCTTCAATCCAAGATGGCTGCATCGTGGTTCCACTCTGCAAGAGGGTTCCTCATGTCTACCATTGCCTGTCACCTAGTTTACTCCTCGCATGCATTAATATTATTATTACTGGCATTTCTAGAGCACCAACATATTCCACAGCGCTGTACAATTGGGGGAAAGGACAGTACAATATACACTGATCAATGCAAAAGGCAGAGAGCTCTCCAGCTGTGAGCAGAGATCTAATCCTTGAGCTTGTTTATTTAGATAACAATTTGCCAAAAAGAGACAAATGGCTCATGACCCTCCTTTGGAGGTTCCCCCCGCAGTTAGCAGATTAACCCAGATAATGGCAGAATTATATTTGGTTTTGTTTGGAGTCCAGACAGGTCCCCTGGCTTGGGACCCAAAATTACACAGAAAGGAAGTCAAAACTACATCCATTTATTAACGTGCCATTAACATCCCATTGACAGATCATGTAGGACCTCATATATACCAGTGGCCAAACTTAGCTAGACACGTTTCACTCCTCAATTGTGTTTAATAATAAGCAAAGACTTGTTGAAGTGGAGAACCCTGGACATAGATTGTGTTGTTGTCCCAAGGAGAAAGTCATAATAGGTGAACTAAGCCTCAACTAAGTTTGTACTTCTAATGCAGTCCTACATATGCCTGGGGGTCTCACAGGATGAAATGCAGGTACGTCAGGAGGGTTCTTTAAGGTTCCTTCACTCTGTAAAACATTTTCATGGAGAAAAACTACTATTTTGGGATTGAGCGGGGAGTGAATCACCCCATCTATTGGAGATAGGCTTACAGGTCTATTAATAGGAGGCTAGGAGACATGCTATATACCTACAACTTTAACCCTCATCAGTCCTAGCCAGCATACATTGTATTAAGATATAATGTGCCCTCTCTCCCTCTACCTCCCCCCCACCCCACTCCCGTCCATATCACCAATGTGACTGGGACCCGGCAGAGATCTAGTAGCTGCAGTCCATGACCTCTGGGATTAAGAGGGTTAGATAATGTGCAGAGTGATGGTTTCAGCACATGAAGCCGTGTCTTTGTTTTCATATCAGAGGAGCACTTGGTGGGTGATGATTGAGACTCATTCAGTAAAATGGTGTCTCTTCCAAACAGCTGATCTAACTCCAGACCTGGTAATCTTCTTTAATCATGGGGAGCCTAGTACGTGCTGAAACTCCTCACCACATGGAATGGAAGAGGAGACCAGTCGCTCCGTAGAAACATGTCAGCCATTTCATTCTGTGTCCGCCATAGCTCTATAATATCAGCAGTAGACAGAATATTATTGTATACAGGGTTGCATAGAGATAGGCTCAAAAAAGGCTCAAGACCAGCAAGTTCAACCTTTAACATATCTCGATTTCAGCTGCTGATCCAAAACAAACAAATCTGAGCGATTTCAAATTGTGTTGGATAAAAGGGAAAAATTACTCCAAATGGCATTCTGATTTCAAATTGGATAAGTAGGCGGTTCATACCCTCTATATTGGCTGGTATAGTCCTGAATTCCATGATTTATAAAAATAAATCAACACTTTCAACTTTTTATAATCAGATTTTGTTTGTATTTCAAAACAAAGTTGATTCTTCATTGCTCTTACAGAACTCTTTCCTCTGCTGTTGGTGAAATCGTCCATTCCCCTTATTAATTTTCTAGTCTATCATTTCAATTTTTTTCTCAGTTAAATGTGCCTAATATTGCACCACAGGAGCTATACGAGAATCAGACAAGCCTTATACACCTATATACACCTATATACACCTTATACACCTATATACACCTTATACATAGATACCTCATTCATGTATTTGGTATAGGTCATGTTGCTGCTGTTATTCCCACCCTATGGGTAAGTCATTGACCTGGGCTGTTGCTGCGGTTGGAGTTCCGGCCCTGAAAACTCCAGGTCTATAGTGAAAAGCGGATTACATAATGTGTGGCAGTGCCAGTTTAATGCATTATATTTGGTGTTAATTATGTACCGCGCAGTGTGATGGTATCGATGTGAGTGCAGGGTTTTAATGCTTTGGGGAGAAGGGTTAAGCAGCATGCTTGGGGTTAATTCAGAAATTGTGGAGTTTATAAATAGAGGTTCATGTAGTACTCTGAGTTCTAACAAACATTTGGAGCCATAATGTGATTCACACAATACAGTGGTTATGGTTGGACTTAGGGAATGGCATAGGGTGAGGTTTTGGCAGGGCCCATAAAATATACCAATTTGTCTTTCTGACACTTCCCAGTATCCCTTATAGAGGAAAAAAATAAAAAAGTCTGTTATGCATAACTTGCATATTATGAGATTGACTTGATAAACCTCTCATTGGGCACAGAGATATATAGAAAATGCATAACAATAATTTGGGGTACACCCTAAACTGAGTGTCTTATTAACTACATAGAGAGATAACATCTAGATTAAGATGTCATGTTACATTAGAATGGAGAGAATCCTGGAAAATATTTCAGGACCTATAGAAAGAGCATAAACCAAAACAGAGAAGATTCGGGATATGGCTGTGTAAATCTACAGAGAAAGCATAAAACAAAACATAGTGTGATATTGTTATAAAACACAATATTTCATGCGCAGTAATCTTGTGCACTCACAGGATGTAGGCAGTAAAAGCGCTCTTAGGGTGCCTTCCCCAATGAAATGGGGGGCTAGCTGGTGTTCCTTATCACCTCTGGATCCTTGTTCCACCAAAAGACATCCACAGGTCAGGGTTCAGTAATAAAAAATTTATTTAGATAAAAAGTGTAGTCACCAATTCAGCATAGGATACAAATAACAAAAGGTTGTCCTACGCGTTTCGTTCTATAAGAACTTCCTCAGGGACCACAATTAAAAACAATAATAACAATGTATCAATGTACAATACATGAACATATCCTATACAAATCCCCCCTCCCTGTGTCCTTAAATAGGGCTAATCCCTAAAGTCTATTGGTGGATCCAGTAGGTGTGTAAATCCTCCTTGGTTCTAATTGGAGGACTGGTCTTCCTGTGGCAGCTGTTTTTCATCCATTCATTTTCTATAATTTATAATTCGCGCCTTTTTCGGTAAATACCGGAAGTAGTCATAATTTGCCGAAACCGGAAGTGACGTCGCGGGAACGTCCGCGTTCCACATGCGTTCCACCAGCAACGTCTCCATGGCAACCGGATGCGATCAGGTAATTCAAAGGTCAAATGGAACACAGGACAAATAAAAGAGCCCCATTCTGCTTGAGAAAAAAACTGTTAACCATGTTTAACACATTTAGCCATTATTTATATATATATATCTGTTGAGTATCACCCTCCTCATTAATCCCATCACACAACATAATGTTAATCCTCATATTATACCCAGTAATCATAATACCTCAATATATTATAAGCCTAAGGCTTCATATTACAAAGTGATCATATTTCCTATGTCTGTTATTTAAGAGTTTTTTTTTTTTTTTTATAAAACTTTATACATTGTTAATCAAAGTGAACACCGTAATCAATTCATCACTGTATCAGTTTAAACTTCAATTTGTCGTGTTATTATTTGTGCTCCCCATAGAAATCTTTGAGATAAGCCTATTAAACACATTAAGGTAATCCATTGCTATGGTTACAAAAAAAGGGGATACTACAAAATGACTACTTCCCATATAAACTTTATTTAGTGAATCTACCACATTCGATTTATACCAGCTCTAAAAATCCTTAGAACATCTTAATAATATCAGAAAGAGACTGACGACACACTCAGTCCCAACCCATTGTACATCATGTCCCCTCTTTTCATTTAAGGATTTTAGATGTTGGGGAATTGAACGAGTCCACCCCTTTTGGCGTGGGGGCAATAGAGTACAAAGACTAGCCCAGAGGGAGACGTTCTGGATACATAAATTACAAACCCTCTCACCTAAGGGTCTTAATATAGATATTGATTTAATTTGTTTTCTAGATTAATATGGCCTAAAAGCTTCAGAACAAAGAGTTAGGATATGTGTGTTTGCCTTTAATTTGGGTTGTTTCTACAGCTGAAAGCTAATCCCCATTTAGAGAGAGGATTTATATATATATCAAATACCAAGTAGTTATTTCATACCCCTTATATTTTATTTTATTTCTTTTTGTACAATTTGTGATCTATTGTCCTATATGACCAAAAATCACAAAAGACTATAATAAAAACACAATAACCGATTATTCTAATATAAATAATGGGTTTGCTCTAAGGATTTTTAGAGCTGGTATAAATCGAATGTGGTAGATTCACTAAATAAAGTTTATATGGGAAGTAGTCATTTTGTAGTATCCCCTTTTTTTGTAACCATAGCAATGGATTACCTTAATGTGTTTAATAGGCTTATCTCAAAGATTTCTATGGGGAGCACAAATAATAACACGACAAATTGAAGTTTAAACTGATACAGTGATGAATTGATTACGGTGTTCACTTTGATTAACAATGTATAAAGTTTTATAAAAAAAAAAAAAGAAAACTCTTAAATAACAGACATAGGAAATATGATCACTTTGTAATATGAAGCCTTAGGCTTATAATATATTGAGGTATTATGATTACTGGGTATAATATGAGGATTAACATTATGTTGTGTGATGGGATTAATGAGGAGGGTGATACTCAACAGATATATATATAAATAATGGCTAAATGTGTTAAACATGGTTAACAGTTTTTTTCTCAAGCAGAATGGGGCTCTTTTATTTGTCCTGTGTTCCATTTGACCTTTGAATTACCTGATCGCATCCGGTTGCCATGGAGACGTTGCTGGTGGAACGCATGTGGAACGCGGACGTTCCCGCGACGTCACTTCCGGTTTCGGCAAATTATGACTACTTCCGGTATTTACCGAAAAAGGCGCGAATTATAAATTATAGAAAATGAATGGATGAAAAACAGCTGCCACAGGAAGACCAGTCCTCCAATTAGAACCAAGGAGGATTTACACACCTACTGGATCCACCAATAGACTTTAGGGATTAGCCCTATTTAAGGACACAGGGAGGGGGGATTTGTATAGGATATGTTCATGTATTGTACATTGATACATTGTTATTATTGTTTTTAATTGTGGTCCCTGAGGAAGTTCTTATAGAACGAAACGCGTAGGACATCCTTTTGTTATTTGTATCCTATGCTGAATTGGTGACTACACTTTTTATCTAAATAAATTTTTTATTACTGAACCCTGACCTGTGGATGTCTTTTGGTGGAACAAGGATCCAGAGGTGATAAGGAACACCAGCTAGCCCCCCATTTCATTGGGGAAGGCACCCTAAGAGCGCTTTTACTGCCAACATCCTGTGAGTGCACAAGATTACTGCGCATGAAATATTGTGTTTTATAACAATATCACACTATGTTTTGTTTTATGCTTTCTCTGTAGATTTACACAGCCATATCCCGAATCTTCTCTGTTTTGGTTTATACTATATATGATATAGGTCGCTTGTTTGGGTAACGACCTAGGGAGGCTGTCATACATCTTTATAAGCTAAGTACTATCGCTTTTTATATTATTTATCGATTGTATATTGTTTGGGATATACTCATAACCTATAGAAAGAGCGTTTTGAGATTTTCACAAAAAACTACAGTTTCCTATGTGGAGTTCCCTAAATCCTAATGACGGAGATGTCGCATGTTATTCCTAGGTGAGTCCCATCTGATTGACATGATGATAAAAAGGCCCATAATATTCTGGAGAATTCAGGAGTATTCTATAATAAGGTAAGTTGTTTCTATTGGCCACATCTGGAAGCTGTGTGTTTATCTGTGTGTTTATCTGTGTGATTGTCTGTGTGTGCAAGTTTAAACCAGGACAGAGCCCAGCTGGAGATTAAATGGAATCTACGATCTATCTAGGAATGATAACACAGAAAGCCTGAGAAGTATTGACATGGGAGTTTACTTTAGATAACGGGAGGTTAAGGATTAAACCTGTGTGTGCTTCCAAAAATACACTGAGCAAAGACTCCGTTAAACCATAACTTAATAAACATAATGAAATTAAAATAACTCTGAGCAGGGAAATAGAGGAAATTAATTAATACGGAGACAAATCTCTTAATAAAAGTCTAAAAGGAGAAATAAAGTTCCTGAGCTTGGCGTCTATTCTTTTAATGAATAAAGACAAAGTGTAGCAAGAGCCACCAGTCCCAAATATCCAGATAAAGACCGTAATTAGAAACCTAACTACAGACCTGGATCTATGATCAATAAGGTACTCAGATCTACCCTGAGATCTGTCATCCAGGAATACGGTAATTAAAGGCAATTGTCATAGAAATTAAGATAATTACCCCACGTATTATCTGTACTGACCAATCAGGATTAGTAACTGAATGCTTGAGATACAGATATAATTACAAATAGGAATAGAAGCCGTATGCTGTGGCCAGTTAGCCAGAATTTAAACAGAAACACAAAACTGTTAGATATACAAACCTGTGCTCCTA